AATATCTAATAGGATGTGAGGCCACCCTCATAGTGACTGAAGGAATTTTAAAAGTAAGTTTCCACTTTCCCAGAACACAGACGTATCTAATTCCCATCCACAGACAGGCACTCCCAACAACCTGGGGCTCATAGACTGGCTACTCGCTGCCTCCCCACCACAGCCTACTCCCAGGTTCTTGGTGAAGTCATCTGTTTTGGAATTTAGGCTTTACAACCCTCCCATCAGCCTCTAAAATAGAGCAATGAGAGTCACCTCTCTAGAAAAACATTTCTGACATTGCCCACATTCACCCAGGCAGCTGAGGCTGATGAACCCAAGGTCAACAAGTAAAAAGGCACAGTCTAGATATCACCAAACCACACGGCAAGCCACTGATTCAAGTCCCTGCACCAGAGTGCCTTCTGTGGGTTTCCATGACACCCCATTCTCTGCTTTTCCTCCTCCTTTACCAGCTGTTCCTTGTCATTCTCCTGTGTCTCCTGTGCTGCCTGTCCTTCCTCTGTCCCTCTAACTATAGGTGTTCTTAAGGGCTGAGTCTTTTGCTCTCCTTTCATCTTTCCCTAACTTATGTCATCCTTTGTTTTAAATACCATCTATAGACAGTGGACTACAAAGTTTTTATCTTCCACCGAGGTCAAGTTAAGAGGTTCATCCAGCCTCTTTTACACTTATTATGGCCAGCTCCACACCAGAAGCCTTCTTAATAATTGGCAAGACTTTAGCATTAAGGCTGCCAGTGAATGGACGTTTTGCCAGGCTGCTGTCTTGCATCCCAAGACCCCAGTCACGCATGTCTGTGAGCTGATATCAGAGGAACCTCTGACCTCTGTGCTATCCAGAAGCTGTCATCGTGCTCCTCTGGAAAAAATTATGCTTGAATATCTCCCCATTTACAGTTATAAATACCACAGAAAAGCACTAAGCTTTCTAATATACCAGGAAATCTTCCACAGTTTGAAAAGCTAGAAATATTAGGAGTGGATATGATCACATTCCTACCATAAATGTGCAAACCTGCCTGCCTTAGAAGAGTCCTTGGGTGGTGCAAATGGTTAAATGTTTGACTACTACCCAAAAGGTTGCAGGTTCAAATCTACCCAGAGGCACCTTAGAAGAAAGGCCTGGTGATCTGCTCCCAGAAGATCCTGGCCACTGAAAGCCCATGGAGTCCAGTTCTGCTCGGAAATCCATGGCGTTGACATCAGTTGGAATCCACTTGATGGATATGGGTTTTTCACTTCCCTTAGCACCCTTGTTTCTCTCTTCCAACCCCTTACATTTTTCTATAGAAGGCTAATCCCCCCATTTGGGTTCTGGATCTGACTTCTTCAGTTGCTTCTTCAACTTCAGCCTTTCCAGGTCGCTTCCACATACACATGCTCAAGTGCCTTCTGTCATAAATTAATCTTTCCCTGATACTTATGTGTCACGTCATTGGCTAACATTCCCATTTTTCATGCTCCTCATCACAGTTTCATGCCTTGGAGCACGATGTCTCGGGATCTTCATGTCTTCCTTCTGTCCATTTTAATATTGACCCTACCACTTGATCACTGACCCTGCTCTGGTCACAGTCATTAGTGACTTTGATCCAAAAAATATCCTTTATCAATTTACTCAACCTCTAAGTGGCATTTAAATGGCCATTCTCTCTTGCTTTAGCCCTCTCCTCTGTGGCTTCGAAACCAACAACCAAACTCAACTGGCATTGAGTCAGTTCTGACTCACAGTGACCCATGTTGGGTTTCCAAGGCTACAAATCTTTAAGGAAGCAGACTGTGCCATCTTTCTTTTGTGGAGCAGCTAGTGGGATTGAACCATGGACCTTTTTGTTATCAGCCAAATGGCTTAACCACTGCACCAGAGCTCCTTCTGTGGGCTTCCATGTGACTCCCACTCTCCGGCTTTTCCTCCTTCTCTACTAGCTGTTCCTTGTCATTCTCCTGTGTCTCCTGTGCTGCTTCTATCCTTCCTCTTTCCTTTTCATCTTTCCCTAACGTATGTCATCCTTTGCTTTAAATACCATCTATAGACTGTGGACTACTAAGTTTTTATCTCCAACTCAGTTTTCTCCTCTTAGCTCCAGACATATATCTTGTTACCTTCTTACTTTCCAACTGAACTGTCAAATTACACCTCTTCCCCACTAAAGAACAAAAACAAAAGAAACTTCCCCTTCAGCTCACATTTCCTCTCATTTTAATATGCAAACAATCCATCCATCCACTGATTTTCTTAACCTGGGAACTTCAGGGTCATTTTTAACACTTCTCTCTCACATTCTCCATTCCAGTCAGTCAGCAAGTCCTTTTGGGTACCCAAGGATAGAAGGTGTTCAGTAGACATATGCAAGATGAATGAGTGCCTGGGTTGGCCTAACAGAAAGGGGGAATCCGCCTAGAACAAGGTTCTCTGATTTAAAATCAGATGGAAGAGGGAATCAAGGCTTTGCACACAGGGTATTCAAAACATCTGTAAGTCCTTTCACTTCCTTTTGTTGTTGTTGTTATGTGTCATCAAGTTGGCCCTGACTCCTTGGATTTCCAAGACAAAATCACTACAGAAGTAGGATTGCCCAACCTTCCTTCTGAGGAATGGCTGGTGGGTGTGAAACCACCAGCCTTCTGGTTAGCAGTCAAGTGCCTTAGGCACTATGCTACAGGCAGTAGAGTCCATCTTTAAGCATATACAGTTCTGGTTCATTAGAGCTCCTTTTAAGCAATCAGTATCCATGGCAACCCTAAAATTCACAGGCCACTATGACACGGACCCTCTTATTCCTGGGTTATCAAACTGCATCATACAACCCAAAGGCAGGCTCATCCAAGTCCTTATTCCCTCTACTTCTTTAAATACACACACATACATGTGCACACACACATGCGCATACGTATATAATGGGAGTCCCTCATATGGTAGCATTCTAGGTAAAATCTAATCTGTTTATTCCCAAGAAATGCAATTTTGTCTTTGTATTATAAATGATGTATGCCTCCACTTCTGAATGTAGCCTTCAATTTAAAGGGAATCACCAGTCTAGAAGCTGTAGGGTCCTCACTGAGCACCAGGGATTAACAGTAAACACCACTGGCAGGGCACTCCATCAAGCTAGTAGAACGGTAGCAGCCTTTATCAGTTCTCTTTTTCCACCAGGAACACTTAACATTAGGGGCTTAACATCTCATAGCAATGAAAAGCTTGCTCCGAAGCCTCAGAGTCCTTAGGTGGTCAGGCTAGCAGCTGCTTTTTCCATTCAGAAATCTGTTCCCCCTAAACACAGCTGATAATATCTCTGAAGCAAAACAAAGCGCATCATAGGGCCTGACCATCCCCGGAAATACCACAAATCCAGTCTTGTGTTTGGGCTCCCCGACAAACATTTTTCCTCTCAGACAACCTCCTGTTGTGCACAGCGAAACCAAAAAAACCAAAGTCACTGCCATTGAGTCGATCCAACTCATAGCGACACCCTTTGGGTTTCTGATGCTGTAAATCTTTACAGAAGTAAATTGCCCCATCTTCCTTCTGTGGAACAGCTGGTGGATTTGAACCACTGACATTTTGTTTGGCAGCCAAATGCCTTATCCACTACGCCACCAGAGTTTCTTATGAGCAAGGAAGGGGTAACTTACTTGCTTTTTGTTATAGCAATATTTACTAAAATGTGGTCCATGAAACAACAGGCCCATGAGTTCCTCCAAAAGAGGGGAGATTCCATAGTCAAGTAAATTTGGAAAGTTCTGCATACCCCCTGCTTTCTTCTTCCTTCCCATTTGGTCTTCTCTATATGAGTCAGATCCGACTTGATGGCAGTGGGTTCTTACTAAAGGGATTTTGTGGTATTGGGACACTTGTTGGTAAAGACATGTCTGCAAAAATCACTGTTTCTAAAGTCAGTGTTGGATGAAATGTAGGCATCTCTTATTGGGCCGTCCCAGTGTCCATCAAGATCAAATAAAGGCTCCCTGTGGTGTAGTGGATAGGACACTTGATTGCTAACCAGAAGGTCAGAGGTTCAAATCCACCACCTGCTCCAAGGGAGGAAGATGAGGTGATCTACTTCCGTAAAGATTTATAGCCTTGGGAACCCTGTGGGGGTAGCTATGAGTCAGAATCAAATTGATGGCAGTGGGTTTGGTTTTTTTTGTTTGTTTGTTTGTTTGTTTACTGTAGAGTCATTGTATCTGAGAGCTGGGGAGGACCTAAGAGATTATCTACTTCATTGGCTCCTAAATTTATTTTTAGCAAAGAACCCTTGTGTATATGAATTCTAAGCAATACCCTGATATATAAGACTGATAGAATACATTTACTTTAGGTAACAAACATGTTCTAGACTCACAACATCCCACTCATTCACTCCTAACACAAAGCAGCCCTAAGATGGACCTTTAAGGCTCTGAGGAACATTGCTTAAAAACCACAAATCTGGTCCTTTATTTTATAAGTATGAAAGGTGAGTCTTATGAATGACCTTCTTAAAGTCTTATGGGTAATCAGTAAAAATGAGATCGGAGCTCAGGTCTGGCTGGCCTCATGCTTCTTCCACTGTTTCACACCCCCATATCACTCTTCCAGGGCCCTTTATCACTGACCTGCCCACAGGAGTCAAACGGAGCAGCCAAAGGGAGCAGTCATAGTCATGTGACCAGCCTCTTGTGTAGTGTTATTATGCCCCTCATTGTAATGAGATATTTGAGAAATACTATTGCTGTTCATCAATAGGTGCTTTTGATGTGATTAATTTCTTAAAAGGAGTCCCTGGCTGACAGAAACAGCTAAATGCTCAACTGTCAGTCAGGAGGTTGGGGATTTGAACCCACCCAAAGGCACCGCGGAAGACAGGCCTGGTGATCTCCTTCCAAAAGGTCAAACTTACGGAGTACAGTTTTGTTCGGCACAAATGGGGTTTGCCATGAGTCAGAAATGGCTTGACAGCAACCATAACAATTGGTTAAAAGCGTTAATCATCTTCTTTCTCTTCTTATCACATGCAGAATACCTTAGGAGCATATCCCTGCCAGTACCTGTCCTGGTGGAGGATACAAGCAGCAGCAGTGAATACGGCTCAGTTTCACCTGACACCGAGTTAAAGGTGGACCCCTTCTCTTTCAAAACAAGACCTAAATCCTGTGGAGAAAAAGACGTAAAGGGAATACGGACCCTCTTTTTGGGGTAAAGACCCGACTTATTTTGAGTGAAAGAAGATTGTTGTAAGTGTGTCATTTAATAAAGGAAGTTGTGATAGATGCTGCATAAATTTCTTACAGCATTCCAGATGAAAACTTTGAAGATCACAGTGCCCCCCCTTCCCCTGAAGAAAAAGATTCCGGATTCTTTCTGTTGAGGAAGGACAGTGAAAGGAGGGCCACCCTCCACAGGATCCTAACCGAAGACCAAGACAAGGTCGTGAGAAACCTCATGGAGTCTTTAGCTCAGGTAAAACCTTTCACTGATGCTTCACTTCCTAAAGTTTACATATTTTTTAATTGTGTTAACAACCTTGAATTGCTACCTATTAGACTGATGAATAGGAGCTCTGGTAGCATAGTGCCTAAGGCACTTGACTGCTAACCAGGAGGCTGGCGGTTCAAACCCACCAGCCACTCCTCGGAAGGAAGGTTGGGCAATCCTACTTCCGTAGTGATAACTGCCTCTCGGAAACCCAAGGAGGGGTCGCTAGGAGTCGGGGCCGACTCGATGGCAAATAACAACAACAACAACAGACTGATGAATTATAAACACAAGGAGTGCTGTAGAAGAAAACAACCCTATCCTAGGGGAAAAAAAAAAGTCAAATCCCTAATTTAGAAACTGCATTTTTGAACATTGGCTATTTTTAAGTCAGAAACAAATTTGTCATATTGGCAAAGTTCTAACAAGTCCCTGCAAGTTGCAAGTTGCACAGTTAAATATATAGAAATAAAGCAAACACTCCATAGATCAAAATTGTCAGAGATCTCTTTAAGCCTTCCTTGGTGTGTTTATTCATTTAGTCAATAAGCATGTATTGAGCACTTGCTGTGGACTGGTCACTCCTCTGAGCATTCAGGAAACATCAGCAAATATGACTGAGACCGCTGTGCTGTGGGGTTGCTTTCAGATGGAGGGTGACAGGCCATAAACAAGAAGTGTAATAAGTAAATTACACAGTATGTAAACCAGTGCAGCCAGTTGCTGCTGAGCTGATGGACTTAGGATGACCCCTTGTGTGTGAGAGTAGGCTTTTCAAACATAGAGTTTTCAGTGGCTGATTTTTTTCAGAAGTGATTGCCAGGCCTTTTTTCCTTGGTGCCTCTGCGTGGACTTGAATCTCCACCCTTTGAGTTAGCAGTTGAGAGTGTTAACTGTTTGCACCACCCAGTAAGTGAGACAATCATAAGTACTGTGAATGACAGAAAAAAGCAAACTGTTCAGTGGGGCTTTTGTTCCCTGGGAAAATGGGTTACAGATGCTGTTTCCAGACACTAGAAAGATTTCTCTCTCCAACTCTGTACGGAAACAGGATTTCCCCAGCTCCAAGACACTAGTGAGGACTTCTGAGGCTGGGGCAGAAGCTCAGGCACCTTGCGGCTCTAACCCTCCATGGACATGCTCAGTTCCAGCAATATTCTCTTCTGTGGGCATCAGGGACTCACCTACTTCCCCACCATGGCCCCAGCTATTCTTCATGATCAGTCACTGGACTGCATGTAGCTTCTTCCCTCCCTCTGTCCTGGGAAAACAGCTGCAAAAAGGATGGAGCTGGACAGGTCAGGCAGAGTGTTTAAAGTCTCTCCGCCTGACAGTGTACTTATTTTCAGTTTTTATTGGGTTGCAAGTGTAACAACTCTCTCTTTCTTGGCTCTTACTGTAAAGCCATAGCTTGCTTGTCTTGAGAACCTCATTAAGCTTCTCTGCTCTCTTATGAGCCTGACATTAAATTTTGTTACATAAGGAACTCTCTAGCATCTGTTTATTTAGATCATACAGAAAAAGCCAAGAGACCATAGGTGTGCCAGTCGGGTCCCAGGAACCAAAATGAGTACCATGTCTGCATTTGGGGAAAATGCTGACTCTGGTCCTAAGCTGTCTTGAGCAGTTAGTTACTCTGAAGCCCACGAAAGAGGGTCCTCTGGGCTGAGGCATAGGTAGCCAGATCTCTGAGTTGAGGGCAGGATGAGAACCAAGGATACTGCCTTGGAGTAGTGGATGATGTGGAAGAGTGGCTCCTAAACATTTAGCTTTCTCTTCCTCTCCCTGTGGTCACTCAAGGACTGAGAATGGGTTGTGATAAGATGAGAAGGGGAGCCACATTTAGATGGAGGGAGCACTAGGCAGCAGTTGGAGTTCATTCATTCATTCATTCTCCATGCAAATGAATGCATCCACTAGTAGCAGGCACTGTTTTATGGGCTGAGGATACTACAGTGAACAAAACTGAAAGGAAAAAAAAAAAATCTGCATCCTATCGAGGCTGACATTCTAGTGGAGGAAGGAAAACAAAGAGCAGGCAAACACTGAATAAAGCAAACACTTTCTGTGGGCCAGGTGCTGTCCTTGATTTTGCAGTGTCTTTGCTCATTTAATCCTCATGACAATAATACTATAGCAGTAATACTACTGCTGTCCTCATTTTACAATTGAGAAAGCTGAGGCAAGAGACGTTAAGTAGCTTGCCAAGCCTGCAGCCCTAAGTGATAGAGTCAGGATTTGGGTCCAGGCAGTCTGACTCCAAGGTCTGTGCCCCTAACTGTCACACTGCACTGCCTCTCTGGTATGCCACATGGTGATAAGTGCTGGGAGGACATAAAGCACTCAGGGGTCGGGGGCAGGAAAGGAAATTGGCATTAGCCACTGTATGGTGAGGCTGTTCCTGTGGGCACTAGTTTAAGATGCCTGTTTTAGGCCAGAACAGACAGAAGCCAGGGATTACCTAAATCTAATAATTCTGAAAGCATGTGTTTTTCTAGTACAGACAGGGTCTGCTTGTTTTTTTAAAATTTTTATTGTGATTTGGGTGAAAGTTTACAGAGCAAATTGATTTTCCATACAGCAGTTCATACACATTTTGTTTCACAATATTGACTTCAGTCCCCACAATGTAAAAGTTCTCTTCACACTTCCTCCCTGTGGTTACCTCTTCCCTGTGTCCTTCTTTCCTACTCATTCCTGCCCCCTGAGCTATCTCCCTGTGCAAATACTGCCCTTCTGTTCTCCCATGATTGATTGTTCTAAAGAGTATATCTACCTGGTATAAATGTTCACCCTATATGCCTGTCTATTGTTTGGCTGAAAGGCACAGGAGTGAGTTCAATTCTGGGCCTGAAGGGTAATTTGGGGCCATAGTCTTGTGGGTTTCACCAGGCTCTATCAGACCAGTAAACCTGGTTTGTTTGTTTTTTTATAGGGTCTGCTTGTTCTGAGTGTTTGTCTTTGTCTCTTTTATGGATTGAATTGTAGACCCCCAAATACGTGTTGACATCCTAAGCCTTGTGCTCGTGGATGTGATGGTGTTTGGGAGCAGGGTTGTCTTTGTTGTGTTAATGAGGCCATGCCAGGATAGAGTGTGTCCTCAACCTAATCATTCTGAGTTATAAAAAGGAGCAGGTTGGACACAGAAGCACTCACACATGGGGGAAGACAGATGTCATGTGAGGAGCATCAAGGAGCCATGGAATGCCCAGGGCCACCGACGAGGAAGAAGTCAACAAGGCAAAGATCCTCATGTGGACTCTGAGCCTTCAAAACTGTGGGAAAATAAGTTTCTGTTCTCTAAAGCCCCCCACTTGTGATACTTCTGTTACAACAGCCCTAGGAAACTAAGTCTCCCTGGTGGACTGTCAGCTCCATCAGGGCCGAGATGTGCGGGGTCATTGCCATGGTTCCAGCCCCAGCACAGAGAACTCACTTCCATGACTGTGCTGAAATTTCCAAATTATAGATCATATTCAACTGTTTATTGCTTCTGATTTTCAAAGCATACTTGACTGTTCTCTATAATAAAAGGAGAGATGAAAGGAAACCATAAAAGCATCTTGAAAAAATAAGAAAGCAAAAGGGCACCCCTCCGAGGGCATCTTTGTTGCACCAGGAGGAAACTACCAGTGAGTACTGGAAGCTGCTGGTCAGAATCTCATGTTGCATCTGGAGTTACCTAGTGATGGCCAGGGTCCTTCTGCCAAGGACATCACAGAAAATGCTTTAGTGGGGGAGCAGGAACTGGAATCCAGTTTACCGCTGGCTATTTCAGCTTGATGGGCAGTGGAATATAATGGTTAGGAGCTTGGGCTCAGATTCAACCTGCCTTTCTTTGAAGCCTGGTTCTACCGCTTAAAAGCTGTGTGATTTCAACAAGTTATTTAGCTTCTCTGAGCTTGAGTTTCTTCATTCATAAAGCAGGAGAAGTGATAGTATCCTCCCTATGGTTGCTATAAGGACTATCTTAGTCTCTTGGTGCTACTGTAGTAGAATTTCCCAAAGTAGGTGATTTTAATGAACAGAAATTTGTCTCCTCACACTTTTGGTGGCTCAGAGCACTCACTCCAGGGAAAGGCTTTCTCTCTCTGTCTGTTCCAAGGGAAGTCCTTGGTGATTTCACGTGGCGTGGCATCTGTCTTCGCCCATCTGTGCATATTTGCTTCTGTGCCTAATCTCCTTTTCTATCTCAAAAATGGTTGGTTTAAAACACACCTTACACTGATAGAACCTCATTAATATAATAAAGGAACGCCTGTTCCCAGATGGAATTACATCTACATATGTAAGGTTAGGATTTACAATACTTATTTTTGGGGCCATAATTCAGTCCATAACAAGGAGTACTTGAGATCATGAGTAATTAAGATTATAATAGAGAGCATTCTCCAAACATCACCAAAACCAAACTCACACTGTCAAGTCGGTCCTGACTCATAGCAACCCCTCCTTGGGTTTCCAAGGCAGTATCTCTACGGAAGTAGATTGCTCAGTCTTCCTTCCGAGGAGTGGCTAGTGGGTTTGAACTGCCAGCCTGCAAACATTAGCCATTATTATTGTTGTTATTTTCATCAAGCAGGCTAGTGATAGTATCTAACATCTTTTTTTCCCTACAACCAGATAGAAATGATTCATTTCATTGCAGTATTAAATATTTCTAGATACTTCTTTACATTTTTATGACAAAGCCAAAATGTACATGTTAGTCAGTTTCTCGAGCTATTCCACACAAACCTTTTGAATCCATAATCATTCTGAAATCCACTCATTGTTTTTAAGGAAGTTTAAACTGTGACAGCTACCATGAGAAGGTGTTCTTATGGTATAGTGGGTGAGGCATTTGGCTGCTAATCAGAAGGTTGGCAGTTCAAACCCATCAGCTGCTGCAAGAGAGGAAGTTGAGACAATCTACTTCTATAAAGATTTACAGCCTCAGAAACCCAGTGGGGGTCACTGTGAGTCAGAATTGACTCCGGGGCAGTGAGCTTTGTCCACTATGAGAGCTCAGCAAAGGCACTGTGTTAGTTACTTCATTCTGCTACAACAGAAATAACACAAGTAATAGCTTTAAAGAATGGAAGTTTTTTTTCTCAGAGTTCAGGAAGCATGGCTTTAGGGGGTGGGACTTCTTTGTTTCAGGTCTAGTAGCTGTGAGCAGTTCTTGGCATTTCTCGACTGGGAGCTGCATCTGTCTCTGTCGGCTGTCTTCCTCCTCCTTCGTCTGTGTGTCTGTGTCTCGTCTTCCTTATAACTCAGAAGGGATTAAGTTTAGGACCCTCCCTGTTCTGTTTTGTTCTCATTTACACAACAAAAGAAAAACCTATTTTCAAAAAGGGTTCTATTTATAGGCACGGGTTAGGATTTCAGCATGTATTTTGGGGGGACAGAGTTCAGTCCATAGCAGATGACCTGTAAAATGTATCTTCTGACACTGATCAGGTTCCCCACTACCTAGGATGCTGGATTAGGAAGGCACATTAATGAGTTAACACTGAGACAGGAGTTAGAGCAGAAATAGGGATTACATCAGTGGATGAAAGAGCCTGGACAGAAACATTTCCCAGAGTAGAGCGCATTCCTTTGTAGGACAGTGACACACACATCAGAAAACCAGAAGCAGCATGTTTTTCTGTTGTGGAAACAAAGCTAATGTCAGAAAAAAAAAATGTTTGCTTTTGAAAGGGTTGGCAAGCATGAACCTGATTTTTCAGTGAGACAGATTTCCAATTTCTCTTTTGAACATTTTTTCTCTTCTTGAACATATTTTCATTTTGCTTATGCTTCTTTACTTGGGTGTAATTTAGTTTGTGATGAGAAAAAAACAAAGTTTATCATTGTTCCCAGTCTGATTTTAAAATATTCCCTTACTGATGGTGTTTAAGCTCTTCAATATAATGTTCTGTAATGAAAACATAAACATGACAGGCAGCCTCCAATTGAAAACACAACGAGAGAAATAACTTCATGGTGCATTTCTCTTTTGTTTCGGTAGAATCCTAGAGATTGTAACCATCAGAGCTCAATTGAGGAATTTAATTTTAATGGTGGAGTAAGAAAGAGTGAATGAAATATGAGATAGAAATGAGCATAATAAAACTCCGTTGTTTCTTCAAGTTAAATGAGGATAAATAACATCTTACTATATTTTTCATGAAGAAGAACTCTTCCTTAGCCAAAGTAAAGCATTGAAATCAACAGAGGGAATTTGTTTAAATATTATATTATATTTGTAATATGTAAAATAGTCTGTTGGTTCTTCTTATAACCAAGTGCATCATTTATTGATAAGGGATGGTTTCAGGGATGGAGTTTGAAGTGGGCATCTTTAGTTGCAAAGAATTAACGTGTTTTAGAGCAATTGACTGGGCAGTCTACTACCATAAAGATTATTGCCTCGGAAACCCAGTGAGGGGTCACTGTGAGTCGGAACCAACTCGATGGCAGGGAGTTTGTTTTTCGGTTTGAGAACAATTGAGCAGCTCTGGTGGCACAGGTTAAAGCATCTGGCTGCTAACCAAAATGTTGGCAGTTTGAACCCACCAGCTGCTCTGCAGGAGGAAGATGAGGCAGGCTGCTTCTCTCAAGATTTACAGACTTGGAAACCCTATGGAGCAGTTCTGCTCTGTCCTATAAGTCACTCTGAATTGGAATCAACTCAGTGGCAGTGGAGTTTTTTTTAGAGCAATTGAAGTACCTAGGATGTGTTGTATGTAAACCCACAGCAGTGAGGGAAGTGAATTAAAATTAGAATGTGGTTCCAAGGAGCTTCAGATTGTAGGCGTTCACACATCTCTCTGGCGTGGTTGCTGTTGGCCCTTTTGGTATTCTGTTTCTGTCCACTTCTTTCTCTGCCAGCTGTTATTCCCAAGGTTCTTGCTTCCATTTCTTTCCATAGAACTTGACATACTTGTGACTCTATTTTATGATTTCTCTCCTTGAGCCAACTCTGAGCTTGAGAGCCTGTGGCTAACTGACTGCTTCGCTCTGTAGTTCCTATTTAAAATATCTGAGGGCAAGAGTCTTATTGCCTCAGTCTGTTCCTGTTTGGGCAAAACGTTGTATATCTGACCAAAACCAGTTTCCATCAGTGGACTCCAGCTCGTGGTGACCCCACATCTGTCAGAGTAGCACTGTGCTCCGTAGGGTTTTCAATGGCTGATACTTCTTCTCAGGTGCCTCTGGGTGGACTCAACCCTCCAAACTTTGAGTAAGCAGCCCAGCACATTCTTTGTACCACCACATCCATATCTAACTGTGTCGTGGCTGCTGGCTAATGCATGGGGCATGTGCCCTTCCTCCCAAAGTCTGATTCTTTCTTGGGGGGGGGGGTAGAAGGAGCCATATAGTTAAAATGATGGCCTTTTCCTTTAACAGGAGCATTTGTAAGCCCAGTTCTCCTCAGGAAGGGCTGTGGGCATGGCAGACCTGTGGCTGATAGGTCCAGCCCTGATCCACTAAGGGGTGGTGGTTTCCTCCACAGGGGGCTGAAGAACCTAAACTGAAGTGGGAGCACATCACAACCCTCATCGCAAGCCTCCGGGAGTTTGTGAGATCCACCGATCGAAAAATCATAGCCACCACTCTGTCAAAGCTGAAGCTGGAGCTGGACTTCGACAGCCACGGCATCAGTCAAGTTCAAGTGGTTCTCTTTGGTTTTCAAGATGCTGTAAGTATGCTATTTTACAAATGTTTTCTCACAAACTTGAGATAAAATTAGCCAGGAAAAAAAATGCATAAAATATAAGCTCTGTCATGTTTCCTTTCTTTGGTAGTTTCAAGGAATTCTATTCTCTATGAATGATAAATGTGAGATATTTGCCCATCTGTGTGTTTCTAAGTATCTGGTTTGCTATAGTTACTGTTGTTATTTTTACATTCCTCAAAGTTAGATACACAAAACTGAATCACCATGGAAAACAGCAAAATGTATGAACATCTCCCACTGCTGGACTTTGTTCTTAGGAAATCATGTTGTTGTTGTTATGTGCCATTGAGTCCGACCCGACTCATAGCGACCTCTCCTTGGGTTTCTGAGGCAGTGTCACTACAGAAGTAGATTACCCAGACTTCATTCCGAGGAGTGGCTGGTGGGTTTGAACCACCAGCCTTCTGGTTAGCAGTCAATTGCCTTAGGCACTATGCTACCAGATCTCCCAGGAAATCATGTAGTGGGCCACTATTTCAATCACTTTAGCAACATAACATAGTTTAGTCATGCACTTTCTAATTCTCAGTGAGACTCGCCATCTAGTGGCTATGAAGAAAAATGTAACATTACAAATTGGAATGGCCACTTACTCGCCAGAGAAAAAAAAACCCAACCCACTGCCCTCGAGTCAGTTCTGACTCATAGCTACCCCCATTGGAGTTTCCAAGGTGGTAAATCTCTACAACAGTGGATTGCCCCATCGTCCTTTCATAGAGTGGCTGGTGGGTTTGAACCACCAACCTTCTGGTTAGCAGTCAAATGCCTTAGGCACTGTGCCACCAGAGCATCCTCAAATTGAAATGGTCACTGCTAAATAAAACCTTCTTTTATTCTTTTCAGTTTTTCTCTGATTTCTATACAGAACATTTTTAATACGTTTATTTTATAAATGTCTACAATTTCCTATTCAACAATATACTTCAGAGTACAGAGCACCGTAGAATGGAAAGCAATCTCGTGACCTAATGAGTGATGACTAAGGATTTAAAATTGAGTTGCCCTGGGGGTGGTTTAAGCACTTGGCTGCAAACTGAAAGGTCAGTGGTTTAAGCCCGCTCAGTGGCTCCACGGGAGAAAGCGGTGGCAGTCTACTTCTGTAAAGATTGGCAGCCTTGGAAATGGACAGTTGTACTCTGTCCTCTTGTTGCTGTTATGTGCCGTCGAGTCAAACTATAGGGTCACTATGAGTCAGAACTGACTCGATGGTAATAGATTAAAGTTTTTTTTTCCTTCCTGGATGCAACACAAACTAGAAACTGGTCCTCCTACAGCCTGATTCAGAACCACCTATGTTATTCTCAGATGAGTCTCAGCTGTGGAACTTTGTAGCAAGAAAGCCTTGAGCCACTCCCAGAAGGCCCTTGTAAGGCATGGGAGACTGGAGTAAAGGGTTTTGATGGTTCCTGTAGTGTGACTGTGGAAGCACTTTGCATAATCTTGTTTAAATTCTAAGAATTCATTCACTCTGATGTGTTTATTGCTCCTGTGAAGAAGTCTTGACAGTCATATGTGGACCACCTGATTTAAAACCAAATTGTAATTCTTCAACAGCCACGGGTGTTCTCTGAGACACTGACTAAGCTGCTTGGTCTTTGTGCTACATCGTGGGTGGGGAGAAGACCCGCGACATGATTGAGATCATAGGAAAAAAAGCAACATCCTAAACCTATCACTGGTACTAAATGCTGACGACACACTTACACTGCAACTGGGGAAACCCAGCCATCTGCAAAGAGAGTGAAATAATTCAGCTTATTTGCACTTACCCACACATTTGGATTCCATCCTAGAGGACAGAAAGCAAATTGGCCAGTAGAATTCAGCTTGAGAACTGTTTAGTTGTAATCCTGGGCCTTGAGCCCAGGTCAGACACACACACACACACATACACTCTACTAATCTTGCTCAGTCATTGTGCAGGATGGAGTTGAGCCCAAAGAGTGGGCCCTGTGTGACAGACTTTCTAGTGGAGAATTATGAGGAGCATGTCATGGTGACGGGACCCTCTTCACCATGGATGCCTGGTTCATAGAGAAATAATTGTTTTACCCCTATGTTGCTCAAGTAAACCGGTAAATCCTATGAGGAAATGAAGGTACCAGGGCAAACTCAATCTGAAAGTATTTCCTCGAACAAGGGACAACCCTTGGGAAAACTCCTATGAAGGATTCCTCGGATTGGCTCCCTTCTAAATTGGGGAATTTTGATGACAATGGACCAAGAGGAAGAACTGAGCAACCAAACTCCAGTTCTTAGTGTGGATTGCATCTGGGTCACCTTCTCCCCAGCTTTCTTGGGGGTTTCTACCCAAAGCCCTATTGGGGAAGTGCCTTCTTTTCTTAGAGGCCTGTGTCTATCAGCAATTCAAGTGGAGTTCATCCAAATAAGCTTTAAATAAAAAGATGTTTGTAAAAGGTTAATGCCCTTATCTGTTTCAGTGTTTCATTTAAATGTATGAAATATGACTAGGTACTTAAAAAAAGAAATCCTTAGCAAAGATTTTGAATATAAACGTCTTTCTGGGATATGATAGCAGAGCAGTCCCCTGTTGACAGGGACATAAACCCCTGGGCAGGAAAGCGAGGCGTGCACTGTGGCGGCCCTCCAGGTAGCAGGTGAATGTTCATATTCCCACAAAAACCTGTGCACAAGTCTTCATTGTAGCTTCATTCGTTTAGCAGCCCCAAACTAGAATCACCCAGATGTTCTTCAGCGAGTGAACGGTTGAACAGCCTGGGCTATATCCATGCCACAGGATTCATAGCTGTAGATACAGGAAGAAACTGTTGACAGAAGCAGCAACCTGGATGACTCCCCACAGAATTATGCTGAGTGAGAAGAGCCAATTCCGAAAGGCTACATACAGTTTGTATAGCTACAAATGATTGAATTTATATCTCATCCCTGAAATGACAAAATTATAGAAATAGAGAGCAGATAAAATAGTTGTCTGGCGTTAAGGAGTGAGTAGGGACAGGAAGGAAATGGCTGTGGCTGTAAAAGGGCAACGTGAGGGGTCCCTGTGGTGGTGGAAATGTTTCGTATTTGAGTGTAACAAAGTCAACATTCCAGTTACTATACTGTATTATAGTCTTATAAGATATAACCATTAGGGAACACTTACAGGGTACACAGGAGCTCTTTCTTCTTTCTTTTTTTTAAATTGTGGTAAATATATATGTAACAAAATTTGGAACAGTCTTCACATAAGAACAGTGTTAATTTTATTTAAAGCTCATTGATCTCTCTCTTCCCCCTTTGCCATTTTTACCATCCATACTGCAGACATGAAAACTTCCAAAGAAGCTCCATTCCCATTTCACCAGACTGCCTCTTATTTAAATAACTTAGCCAACTTGCTCGCATGGGGCTACTGAAATTTAAATTGAGGGGACAATTTTTCATTCATTTTCCAGTAACATAAAGACATTTACAATTTGAGGTGAAGAAACCTTCTAGGAATTATTTTTTTTTCAATTTCATTTCTGTGGTTGAGAATATGCACAACAGAGCATAATACACCAATTCCCCAATTTCTTCACGTACAATTCACTGACATAGTGATTACATCCTTTGAGTTGTGTAACCATTTGCACCCTCTTTTTCTGCGTTGTTCCTCCCCATTACCAAACTCACTGCTCCCTAAGTTTCCTATGTAATCTTTTGAATTGCTGTTGTCAGTTTGATTGTGTGTAAATATATCTTTAAAGAGAGACCAGTGCTCAAGGCAGACATTCTTTTCTAGTTATGCTAAACTGTTGTTTGGTTTAAAGACAGCTTTAGGAGGTAATTTTAAGATTTAAAGGTCATCTCAGGGCAATGATTTCAGGGGTTCATTCATCCTCTTGGCTCCAGAAAGTCTAGAGTCTGTGAGAATTTGAAATTCTGTTCTGTAATTTCCCCCTTTTGACCAAGAATCATCTATCAAAATGTTCTAGTGGTAGCTGTATACCGTCTAGTTTTTCTGGTCTCTTGCAGAGGGTGCAGTTGTTAATGGAGGCAATTAACCCCATATCCCATTTCTTCCTCCTATTCCTACCTCTCTTTCTTGTAATTTTCATAGACAAAACTTCATCCAAATGCTCAGATTTCATGAAATTAAGTATAATAAAATGCTAGCTTCTTTGCAATTAGAAATTAAAGTAGATTAACTATCACTTTCTCTGCAGGTCAATAAGGTTCTTCGGAATCATAACATCAAGCCACACTGGATGTTTGCCTTGGATAATATCATCCGGAAGGCGGTACAGACAGCCATTACCATCCTGGTCCCAGGTCAGAAATACTTAATCACTCTGTAAATATTTAGCGTGTGGTATTTGTAAAAGTATTTCTGAGGCTGGAAACAAAGTTAAAAACAATACTAGAGATTTATCATTTGATCAATGATTCAAGGATCGGGAAAAACAGCCTAAACTGCAAGTTCCAAAGATATGTGGCAGCATTGGGGTTCATAGAGTCAGAGGGAAACAGAGAGTCCATGAAGTTGGGAAGTTTTAGCCAGTTTTTCAGAGATTCATTAAAATGTCTTTTGAAATCCTTTCTTCTCTGAAATGTTAGTTTGTTTAAGAAGACAAATGTCGTTTTATAATTTTTTTTTTGTGGTGGGAGATGCTGAGGAGGGGAGTCCGTGCCTGCTGAGCAGAGGCAGATAGACAGGCTGGAATGCAGGCGGGAAGGAGCAGGAACTGTTGATTATACATAAATCTATAGAAACAGGCTAATTACTATTCCTCAAAGGTAGGCTACTTGCTATCTTAAACCTTTTGCCTGTGAAACCAGAGAGCAGCTGTGCTCTTCCGGTGTGACGTAAGGGACTCCAAGCTGGTTTAGTTTCCCCAGCCATGTAGTTTAGATTACTCCTAATGTACCATTTCTGCTATCTCCTTCGTGCTCTTAAGACTGCGTTTGCTTGTTTTTTGATCTTTTCAAAGCCACCAGATAAACATTATTTAGCATACGATCTGAGTAGAACACCAAGCACGATGTTTGTTGTGTGTGCAGAACCCTCGGTTCCTAGGATTTGAAGAGCATTTTTAGATAAGAGGGGAGAGGGATAACCGTAAGATGACCCAGTAAATGTGTTCAGTGCACAGATATCTGTGCCCATAGACATATACCTATGTTATCCTTACCTGTGGCTCCCAAACCTGCCAGTGCACTGAGTCGTGTAAGGAGTCCTTTCAAACGACAGCTTTCTGGGCCTCATCCTAGACCTGCTGAATAAGAATCTGCTGAGGATAAAGTCCAGATTTCCGATTTTAACACTGCTCCCGGGTCATTTTGATGCGTAGCCAGGTTTGGAAGTCACTGGTCTAGCAGCACATGGTTGTGTTGGCAGTGAGCTACTTACCAGTAGTGTTGATTAAACAAGGCCTTATGGAGTAGGGGACGGGTGTATTCACACTCAATGGCAAAACCTCTGAAGTGTTTGATAATCTGCCCACTAAAGCAAAGGTCTTCCAGGATGGATAGATGGACACATATAGCTATGTTTTTGTTGCTGTATGCCGTCCAGTTAATTCTGACTCACAGACATCCTATAGGGCGGAGTAGAACTGCCCTGTAGCATTTTCTAGGCTGTAATTTTTTTCCTAAACATTATTTATTTTGTTTTGTTGAGAATACACACAGCAAAACATACACCGATTGAACAGTTTCTACATGTACAATTCAGTGGCATTGATTACACTCTAGTTGTACAGCTGCTCCCCCTCCCTTTCTTAGTTGTTCCTTCATCTTTAACACAAACTTACTGCCCCTCAGGTTCCCATCTAATCTCCTAAGTTGCTGTTGTCAGTTCCATCCAGTGTAGACAGTTGTTAAAAGAGCATAATGCTTAGGGCAGACCTTTTTCATTAAACTGTTGTTCAGTTTTAACATGCCTTCAGGGGACATTTTTGGTTTAAGGTTTAAAGATTATCTCAAGGCAGTAGTTTCAGTTCATCCACCCAGCAGAAAATCTGGAGTCCATGAGAATTTGAATTTCTGTTCTGTATTTTCTCTTTTGATCAGGGTTCTTCTATGGAATCTTTGATCAAAATGTGCAGTAATGGTAGCCGGGCACCATCCAGTTCTTCTGGTCTCATGGCAAAGGAGACTGTTATTTGTGGAGGGAATATTTCCCACACATTCCCTATCCTCCTATTCCCGACTCTAATTCTGTTGCCCTTATGAATAGAGACTAATTGTCATGTCTTGGATGGCCGCTTAAAAGCTTTTAAAACCCTAGGTACTATGCAACCAACAAGGAGGTAGAACAGTAGCACTAAATATATTATTGGGCCAATTAACTGGGACGTCTCATGAAACCATGACCTAAAAC